ATTCAATCACACTTTTAACAAACCTGATTAAAATAAATAAAACATAATCTCCTTACTTGTTGCATTATCATTATTTTTCTGTAACTCTGACTACATGTACTAAAAAAAATTTAGAAATAATATTTCATAAAAACCTTTAAAATTGCCAGAGAAGTAAGGTAACGCCAGTGACAAAAAAATGGTACATGTGGTCTTTAAATAGGAAGACACAGGTATCCTTTGCAGAAGTGTTTTATCGACTAAACGTGACACACATATAAGTTCTCCTCCTCCTTCACATCTGCCGTAATAATTTATATTTATATTTTACCTTTGCAGTTTAAATAAACCATACATCTCATATGACATCTTGCTTTATTAATATTTATTATGAATGTCTTAAACTTTAACAACGTACGGGCAGATCCATTTAGCGCAGCTGGTGCCGCTTTGAAGTGACGCTTGAGTGCTCTAGAATATTACAATGCACAAATAAACGTCCTTTGATTCCTTCCCATGCCTCCTTCCCTCGTATCCTAAGACGCGAGGGAAGGAAACGAGGATGCACAGAAATGAGAAGCACATTGCATAACAAATAAAGTGAGAGAAGTACATTTCAAAATACTCCATCTGGTGTACCCTGTTAAAACTCTTTTTCTTAGATTTCGTACTGATGTAGATGTTATATGTGATTTCTGTGGGACTGAGAAAGAAAATGTTGTGCACTTATTTTGTAACTGCATTTATAGCTAAATGTTTTGGATAGATTTGGAATGTTTCCTTTGTAAATGCCTAGGCATGAAAGTTTACCTTTCTGAAAAAGATGTATTTTTTTTATTTTAATAGACAAAGATTACCACCAAATGTGGCCTTTATTGTTAATCTTTGTTTGATTATGGGGAAATACCATATACATAAACAGAAATGGGCTAAAGGAAAACCCAACTTTTTGTTATTTCAGATAGATATGAAAAATTATATTGAGTTACTACTTGGGTTGAAAAACAGTAAAGCAAAACGCACTAGGTCTCTTCGTGAAGCTTTTCTGTTATTTATATGATGATCTCATACCTGTTCTTTTTTTTTTTCATTATTATTTTAATTTATTTATTTATTTTTACCTGTATTATTATTTATATAATACTGTATATGTTCTATTTCTTTTTTGTAGTTTATATTTGTTCAGTACCTTTATATTACATGTTGGAAATCAATATAAAAATCAATAAAAAAATAAGAAATGAGAAGCACCCTAGGTGTCACTGTCAGACCAGAATATACAGACAGCCTTCTTAATGTCAACATTAAAGCAAACTTGGACCCTATATTTACTTTCTTAATGCATGATTCACACGGCCCATCAGGTTATTGAAGGCTACCGGTGTTTATTGTTGCTTAAAAATACATCTCAATCAGTTTTTCATTCCATAATTTTAGCTAATTCTCATAATTCTTTTATGCTCTCTCTCCTAGCTAGTGCTTTATCTCCCCCTAGTGTTCATTCTTTGTAATAACATCTATGTAAACACAACAGGCATGTTACTTTCCATTCTAAAAGGCATTTGCAGTACCGTTTCTAGGCATAGGCAAGCTACTCTTGGGTCGCCACCACCTGGAGGGGGCGCCAATGAGCGCATGTACTGGCGCTACATTTAAGAGGGATGTGATAAAGAGTGGCACGGCCACCCTGAAATATGATTGCCTCCTCCACTGGATCCCCCAACATTATCGGGCTACAGTACTGTCAATCTGACGATGCCTGTATGCCATTGAATCAGAGCGCTGTCAATTGCTGCCTCTGATTGTTGCATGCAAAGTTCAAAAAAGTGCTCACCAATGCCATTAGATCAATAGGTTCTGTCAGTGCTTTGGCAAGCTAAGGCTTTTTTTTTTTCAAAGGCCAATTTAAAATATTGGTACAGTAAAAAGTGCACAAAATCAGTATTTATTTTAGGCAGTATTTATGGCAGTCGAGAAATCATGTTGCGAAATTGTCCAAAAGGTGTGCGTTTTTGTGCCAAATGCATTGTTAAAGGTACAGTGTGTCGTTTTAATATTCCCATATAAAACTTTAACAGCCAATGAAAAAATTTTGGTGTAGTAAAATTCACTAATTCACAAGATAAATACATCCTTTATTAATCCGCTTTGTCGAATTTAACTTACGGAAGTGTCGAAATGCTGAATCAATTAATTCGCTTCCAACAGCGCCCAATGGGAGCATAGAGGGCAGCGTGTCGTGTTATTTAAAGGGGACGTTCACGCTTCAAAGAGTAACAAAGGAATAAGTAGCTGAATTCTGATTACTTTTATGCCACTGATCAGGCATTTATATGTAGTTTGGGGTAAGAAAGGGTTTTATATAGTGATGGGAAACCGAGGCTTTCTGAAGCGTTTGAGGCTTTCATGAAATTGTGCCGAAAAATGGTTGATTACTCGAAGCTTTCAATACAATGCACATTATCGACATCTGGTGGTCAGACTTGGTTTCTCCACCGTGTCTGAGTGATTCTATAATTGCAGGTACATTTGGTGTCCG